TTCCCAGGGTAAGGCTTTAAGGGAGCAGAAAGCCCCATCTGGTGGTTTCAAAGTGCTGGCCTTGCAGCTCATAGCCAAAGGCATAACCCTTCATTCAGCCCCTCCAGGGCTCTGGACCAGCAGGCAGCATCCTGATCAATGAGACCAGAATGAAGCCATCAGACATTCCATCCATGTGGCTCCACAGCCAGGGCTCCTGGCAGCCGCCAGGATGCCAAGGGCCGTCGCACTGGGCAGCTGTGTAGCAGGTGATCTCTTTAAAGAGCTGTGAGGCAAAGATGTCGCTCTAGGGACTCAAGCACACCCGATACAAGCCAGGATGTCTCCAAGCATCTCACGCTTGTAAAATCTGGATGGAGAAGGAAGACAGGCCGAGAAGGGTGCCTTTCCATTGTGGTGCTTGCGAAACACCGTTGACAGGACCCCGGGCTGCCAGAAGGACAGACAACCTGCCTTTGAAGGGACAGAGTCGGAGAGCGCAGAGGGCGAGGCTTTAGCTCATGTGTATGGACGGGTCATCAGGAGGGACGGGTCCCTGAGGGAGGAGGTGGAGCTGGGTGGAGTGAGAGCCATTGGTACAGAGGAAAACCCTGCAGGGGAGGGATGGACATGGTGACCGCCACCGCGGGCTCCCCACGGCGGTGACTGTCAGGATGATGGTGCAGGGCCGGGCCGGGTGGTGTTCTTTCCCTTGTGCACAGAGAGGCCCCTGTGAGTGGGAACTGACTCAGCGTACCCACGACCCTCGCCACATACGCACACACAAACACACACATCAACACACGTGGACGTGTGCGTGCGAGGGCACGCCTACAGACAGCACACACCGACGCTTGGGTTGCGTTTGCCCATCCAGTGGTGAAAGCCTGTCACTGTAGCTTTGAGGTGCCAACATTGACCCTGCTCTTTAACCAGAGCCACGTCTTCCAAAGTGCACATCTGTGTGTACACGTGGAGCAACGCCACGCACGCACGTTCTGCACCTGAGAACAGTGAATACGGGGGGGACTGTTCCTCCTTTTTCAGGACAAATCGGAGCGCCTTGGGTACCTGTCCTTCTCACTCGCTGCCACGGAGTTGATGCTGACCGCAGCAACCCTACAGGACAGGGTAGAACTGCAGCTGTCAGTTTCTGGGACTATCACTCTTTATGGGAGTAGAAAGCCCCATCTTTCTCCGGAGGGGCGCCTGGGGATTTTGAACTACCGACCTTGTGGTAGTGCAGCCCGACTCGAAACCACTCCTCCACCAGGGCCCCCTGGTGGTACTTAGACGGTGTGCTCATCCTTTTTTGGTAGCTTGTTTGAGCATTCTCCTAGCAAGGAAACCTTCCCCCCTTGTGCTGTTACTGGCGATGCCAATGGTCATCGGCATAGCCCTGCTGGCTCGGACCCTCGTGGGGCTGGTGGACAGCACGTCAGACAGTGTGTGGCCCTGGGCCATCGCCACGAAATCGGTGTCTGTGAGCACCTCCTGGTCACTTGGCGTCAGTCCCAGCCGTCGAATAGCTAACCGTCACCGTCCTTTCTGCGGAGGCTTCCGGGTTGTGTGGGCTTGTCCACTCTGAGTTTATGAAAGCATTTGTTTTCTGGTTCATTTATTTATGTGTTTACATTTAACTCTTTGATCCGTGCCGGCCCATTCTGGAGGTAAGTACCAAAGGGTCAGAAGACAGCGAGGTTGTTCTAGCGCTCATAGGAGGCTTGTTCTTCCTCACGCATTTGACCCTGCGTCTGTTATATGCGGAATTCCACCAGTCTTCGCCACTGTTCCTTGACTTTCTATCCCTTCCCTCTCCCCCCCCCACCCCCATTGGGCTGTCTTGCTATCCACTTGTCCATCCCAGACTGCTTTAATCGCTGGGCTCTTAATAACGTGCTGTAAAGCCTGGGAGTGCCCGTGCCTCCTCCTCCGCCTCCCTCCGGCTTTGTACGTGCTGGATACCACGTGGAATCCGTTTGTCATCTTCCCTCCCACGCACACCCCACATCATGCCTTTGGTGTCTTATTGGATCGGGTTACATTGATAGACCGGGCGATGGGGAGCTGGCTTACTTACGAGGCAGGGTGT